TTTAAGCTTCCTGCCAATGATACAAAGCCTGCCCATTAAGCAAGCAAGGGTTATAACATGGGATTGTTTGGAGATAGTCACAGATAGGAGGTCTAATGGATTCTAATTTGGTAGAATCCAAAGATGTACATATTAAGAGAACTAGATAAAATAGTACCTTACTTCAGTTTTTTGTTCCGTCACTGAACTCATGAGGCTTATTTATGCAATCTGTCTAGCTGAGTTTGTTATTTTGAATTTTAGTTATGCATTAGCCTAACATCATATAATTTCAAATAAATGCAGAACAGTTTTATTCCAAGTACATTACTAGCACTCCTCAGGATACTGATTTTTAGAAATTATCTAGACCCTCTTAAGTTAACTAGAGTGACTTCAATGGCTGCCTTTGAAATGCATCTAGTTTTTCTGCAGTTCAGTTTAACAAAAAACCCACAGACCTTAAGCATGTCTTGCAAAGTTTAGAGAGCCCTGTGCACTGAGAAAACATCACCTGTAATTTACTTCAGGACTGACAAGCAGCGGCTCACTGATAGGTATAAAATTGCAGAGTCCAGATGCCACTGTTGAAAACAGGCGTGAGAGAGAGTAGCAGAACTCCTTCACTATAAAACATCTTGAGACAATTTAGGAAAACTCTATCTGGGCTCATATTCTGCAGTAATTAGGGACACCATATTGCATTCAGCACCACACTGCCAGCCACCAAACATCATGAACTTTCATTACTCCCACAAAAGCTGTTTAAAAAAACCCCAGCTTTTTAGTTATTACAGTTGGAAAAGATTTTGCGGGCAGGTAAGAGATGGGAACCCACGCTGTAGAAAGGATATTGAAATCCAGTTATCCAGTTACATTTTTACATGCTATTGCTTAATAGACTGCTCTTCTCATGTCAGGAGAAGGGGCCGGGCAGCCCAGTTCACTAATTATATCAGGCTATTGAACCTGTAACATGGAAACTTCAACTAAAGCAGCTACTCTGAGAGATGCAGGCAGTCAGCAATTTGATTCTGGTTTTGAAATACACAATCTAAAAGATGATTCAAGTTACTAGCCATCTTTTATTAATGAAGATATTCTGTATCAAATACCTAGAGCTTTTTATAGAATCTGCTCCTCATTTGACTGTCACGATGCCCATTATTTTAAAGGAAAGCATGAGGAGGTTCACCGCATAGTTACTGAGGAATCATCTCTTGCATGAATTACTTCAGGAGCCTGTTTCTCAAGAGCACGCATTCCCAAACAAGGCAAGGAACATGTCAGGCTTAGTCACAGACGAATTTACATCACTTAGAAAAAGAGATAGGTGAAAAGGATACCAAAGACCATTTCTTCATAGCAAGTAGATGTTTTCTTCCTGAAATATAATGTTTTAAGACTTTTAGCACAGGTGGAGCAAGCTTGAATACATAATCACCGATACAGGCAGGAGAATGAACAAACTTTTAGGTACTGCCATGGCATACAGGAGAACCACGAAATATTTTGGTGAATTCTCTAAAAAAAAATAGTGAACTGTCCCATAATTAATCTTTTTATTACTTCCAGAAAAAGCATAGTAAGGGGTTGTGCCCCAGATACTTTTGAATAAGAGAGTGTACTAGAATACATTATTTTTGTTTTGCAGAACTGTAATAAATTCATGTTTTTAAAGGACTTGTAACATGCAATTTCACAAGACAGTTTTTTACCAGTAATTCCTTCAGAAATACATGTAATGCACCGATGACATGGGATTTCCATCTCTTTCTGATCCTGAGGCAACTAATATGCAATGGTTGCCATGATTTAAGAGCAAATTTATCTGTACAGAAAATGTGTCTTTTCTTTAAGGAAATCACTATTGAGTATGTCCAAAAATACAATATTCACTCCCAGTGCAAAGAAACACAACCATTTTAACCTTGGACCAGTTTTTAAGGATTATCTTAAATGAAGAGGTTGTATAAAATATCTGAATACGAAATATTTCTACAAGGGAAAAATGTTAGTTTGGAACACTTTGCCATGCAGTGTGTGATACCCAAATTACATAGCAATGAAAGTGTAAGTGCAAAACTTACTGTAAACAATAGGAAAATAGTTTAATTTACCATCCTACTGGGGACAGAATGCCATCAAATACATAATGTAAACAACAACACCACAACTGAATTTTTCACTGCCATAGTTTAAAACAATATTTTAAGGTGTTATTATTGTTAATCCAGGAGATAATCCAGGGATTGTAAGTATTTTGTATCACCTAACTGCCAAACCATTGTTTACATTCATGTTTTTACCAATGTGGAGGCATTTCTGCCTTAAAAATCTATTTCTATTCCAGTCTTCAATGTTTCTTCTAGGATTGAACTTGACTTGCAAGTTAAGCTCAGAAACAATTGCGTAACTAATCATGTGGAAAAAACAATTAGAAAAATCTGTTTCACGGTGTTATATCCCATTCTGCACTGACAAAGAATTAAATTATTTCAGATGTGTTTTTCACTTTTATTTCCTTAATGTATATGGAAAATGTATTTCATTATTCTTTCTAACATAATTGTCTTCTGCAAATTAAATTATGTGGTACAAATTACCATCTAGTTGTTTTTATACATTCAAGCAGCTTCATCCCATTCATATTAAGCCTGGAGCGTGCTCAGTGTTTTTGAGGTATGCTGAATGCTCTCAACTCCTCTTGGCCATAAGAAAAGTGACATTCTTCAGGCCTTTATCTGATAGAACAAGACAAATTACTCAGATCTAGCGATTATATATTCTCGTGTCTTTCAACATTAAAATTAAGAAACAAATTTCCTATCTTCAAAAGTTCAAAGCACCAAATAATATCTTTTTTACTTTTATTAAAGTTCCAGTTCTGAACATGCATCCACATCTCACAAATTTTACTTCTGCAGCTATACCCACTGATATTTAGGACCTGACTGTCCTCAATCACTCCTTTGGAGACAAGAAGAACTTTTCCTGGTGTCATGGTTTAACCCAGACTAGCAACTATGCACTGGACAGCGGCTTGCTTGCCCCTCCCCTTCCATCTCAGTGGGATGGGGGGAGAAGAGCACAAAAGGGAAAACCAGTGGGTTGAGATAGAAATGGTTTAATAGGAATAGCAAAATGATACTAATATACTACTAATAAAATACTACTAATAACATATAAAATAAAATGCAGTTCCTCATGAACTAGCTATGAGAAAGAAAAGTTTCTAACTGCAAGAAGGCAATTAACTCGATTTTAGTCAAACCACCACACCTGGCTTGTCCTTTTTGCTTTCTTGCAAATTTTGCTGCAAGATAAATTTTCTGTCCCATGAAGGTGCCTCAAAGTATGTATAAATCATGGATTTGCAAGTGTGTGTGTGGATTTCTATCTGAAAGAGCATGTGTATGTGTACTATATACACACACACATTATGCAAAAATTTTCAAAGATGCATCCACTGTTTTAATGATATTTTAGATTCATGGATTTTGTATTTTCTTTTTCTTTCCTGTTCTTTCCACGCTGTTAAAAGTTCTTTCCATGACGGTTGTCTTCAACAGAGGCATAAAACTTGTTTTTCCTAACCATTTCTTACACCAGGGCAGTCTAATTTCAGAGGTGACAGGTAGTTCCTTTGTCAGAACAAAGATCTTTTCTTTGCCTCATTATCTCTTCTTCAAGTTAATATTAACAGCTGTGGGGGTACATCTCTGACAGATAGTTCAGTTCTGGTTATTCTTTTACTTATTACGGAACAGAAAGAATCTGCTCTATTATCAATAATGTGTTCACTCGTAACTGCTTGCCTTCCACTTCACCTTTAAGGTTAATTCACTAACTCTAAGGGTGTGTCCTGAAAGTTAGTGTTGATATGTGTCCAAATACTGGGTTTCATTTCAATGGGGAGATTGTTCCTTAGAACAGTTGCTGTGTAATTTGTTTTCTATGTAATGCACCAGACAAGAGCCTTGAGATGGAGGAAATTATTTATATGCCAGCTTATGGGGAAGTGGCATGATCAAATACGAATGAATGTGAAACAGCTGGAGTTTGCACTGTGTTCTATTTTAATTAGTACTTAATGACTGGAGTTTCATATTTCATGTATACTGGTGTTAACCTTCCTTCCTCAGGATAAGCAGAATGACTAGAAAAATAACATGAGTTTATCACACAGCTTTCAAGATATCACAGGAACATGTACCATGACAAAAGTTCTGTGTTCCTGTTTAACACAAGTGTTAGTTCTATTAAAGAAACAAACAAAAATTGGGTCTACAAATAGATACGAATTTTTGCATTTGCTTGTTTTAAGTGCAAATTCTGTTATTCCTCAGAAGTATCTCTTGGTGATGTGTTCTGCTGCTGTTGTCCTAAGGATAGGACACAGGAACACAAACCATCTCTAAGAAACATTATGTTTTTGGAAGTATTAATTACCTTCAAAAATCCATCCAGAGTCTCATTTTCCTTCGTGGCAAGGCTGTATGTGCCATGTTACCTGCCCTAAACCACAGCTGCCAGTATGCTGGGAGTGGTTAAACTGAAACAATTTTTTTCATTACCTTGCCTAGTCCCTTCCTGCAAAATACCAAGATAATGATACTCCTTTTTAGTCTTTTCATTGAACAATTGGTCAATCACGAGTTTCTTATTGCTTTTAGTTTTGCAGTCCTCACTCTCTCAAACTGGGTGATGTGCAGGGAGTTTGCCTCCCTGTGTAATTTGTAGGAAATGAACACTGGGACCTGCAGCCCAGCTGCTGTGTACCAGGCCCTGAAATGACAACAGTTCCTGTCCAAGAAACTGACAAGAATAAAAGACCCCTGCAATACTGGAGCGTGAATTTACTCTGATTTAGTTGATCACTAGAATGCTTTAATTTGAGTGGTTCAAAAACGTATCACAACAGCATTTGTAGAGTCAGGCATCTGTGGTATTTTACTGCATTTCTGTTTTGTGAATGCTCCATCTGACACTTCTTTTTGTTCTTTTTCCCATTCATGCAGTCACCTAATGCTGGCGACAAGGATGACCAAACACTGACGGTAGGCAGCAATTAGTATGTGCCTGAGCATTTGTTTTTCAGGAGGGTAGGGAGGCAAGCCTTACTTTGGTCTGGCACACATCAGCATTTTTCTAAATTACTGGCATTTCTTTCCCCCTCCTATGCTGCTATAGAATTTAGATAATTTGTTTCCAGTGATAAAGCGGTGAATTAATTTTGTTGTTCAGTTTCTATAATTTTTCATTTAGTATTTGTATGACACCAAAGATTAATCCATGTATGATGTATTATTGCAAAATACTATTTTCTTCAGGGTTGTTTTTTCCCCCTAATTGGATTTCGGGGTCTTATTAGTCAGCAGTCTGTTGGCTCTGATTATCCTTTTTATCGAAACAAGCAGACAGCCATCCACAAAGCAGTCTTACTCTATGGGATATATTAAATGCATGGATTATTGTACTAGACAATGACATGGAGAAAAGAACCTCAGAATATGTTTTAAATTTCTTTAAAAGCATCTAAAAGATGGTTGTAGGTCAGCTCCATTGCTGTAGGTGTCTGCACTGCCTTACCACACTTGCAAACATTTTTTTGCAATCGGTACTTAACGGATTGAACCAAAGCAAGGAGTATGTTTCACTCTGACTGAGCTTGAAGATTTTGTCATTAAAAAAGAGTACTCTTGGCCCTTCTTCTCCATGAGTTTGATAATATGTGTATTTGCAATGTACCAAGGCAAGAAAAATTAGAACTTTCTTCAGGGATTCAACCACAAGGTTCTGCAAAGAATTCCACAGAATTCTTCCTGATGCAAGTAAGAGGTTTTTATTTTCTGAACATTTTAATAGTTTTTACAGAGAAGGATTCTTTTTTTCTCTGCTCTTTACTTGAGCCCTTGGAGACTCCTAGCTAATCTGATGATCCATCCCCTCCAGATAAATTGTCTATAAATATGGCAATGTATAGACTGTGTAGTTTAATATAATCTGCTATATAGGTAATATTTGAATATATGAATATTTGAAAGTGTTTCACTGTGTAGTGAAATGTGAGGTTATTTCATAGTGTTTCAGACCAGTTTCCACACAAACAACAAAAAAACCCTAAATTCTTTCCCTTATTTTTCCACCTAGACCAAGCCACGGCTCCAGCGGGGAGGAAGCTCTGCATCTCTCCACAACAGTCTAATGAGGAACAGCATCTTCCAACTTATGATTCACACACTTGACCCGCTTGCTGAAGGTATTCCTATTAATTTTCTTTTTTTTTTTACGAAGGCAAAAAAATACTTTCCTTTTTCCCTGCTCCCTATGAGGCTATTTTTTGCATTTTTATTGTTTTCACCAGTCCTTTCTGAATGTGTCTGAATTTTCTGAGAGAGTTTTATGCTCTTGTGGCATGGTATACATACTCCCACCAAGACTTGCAACTTAAGAAATGCGTTCATTGAAGTGCTAACTAAAACTGATCGCTTGGTTGATACATATCATAAGTACTGTTTTGCTTTGCCTCTGGCTTCAGCAGCAATTTAAAAGTTACAAAATCTCTATCCTGTTCTACTTTTCTAGAGGTTTTTTTTGTTTTCTTTGCTGGTTATGATTTTAGTACATCAGAAAGAAAAGCCAAAATGGTGGGTAATTTTTCATATGGAATATAGAAAATAATGAGAATCTGCTGGTTTGACTTTGCGTGGTTTAATGCTGACATGAGAAAAAATGCAACAAACATCCCTCTGTGTTACATGCATGTTGAAAGTTTGCTTGCTTTATCCAAGTGTGGTGTAATTTTTTTTTTTCGTTGAGAAGTTAGCAGGAAGACCGTGGTAGCTTTGGTCTGCGAAGTTGCCAGGAAACCCACAATCACTTTGCAATTGTGAGGTGATTTGAACCTCAGCTTCTGATAGACTTCCAAACAAATTCAAGGCCAGGTGTTTATTTGGTGAATGTGTGTCTGTAGGACTTTTCTTGCTGTAGTAATACATGTCTTGAGAAATAGCACTTGTAAAGGAATTGTGAGGGACTAAAAAGATCTAAAATATTACTGACAGGGAGACCTTCCAAACTTCAGTGAACAAAAAGTATATGTAGCACTTCCTTGCATTTGAATTCCTTTATGTTTGTCATTGCAACATTGCATATAGCTTTTTAAATTGCTCTGTATCTCTTGGGCAAGGGAAATCTTTTCCATTTCTCTCTTCAAAAGCTGAAGCTGACACTCATTTTGTCAACACAAGTGCAACTTTAGTCCCTGCAATCTCCGCACCATTATTTCTACACTGATCATGATTCACATCACATCTCTCTTTGGTTAATGCTGCACTATTCAATGACAAAATCTGTTGCCTGTTAGAGTGGAGTCATCAACAGACTGTGCCCAGTCTACTCCCATTCAGTGCTGAAGAAGGACAGAAGAAATTTATTGCAGCTATACATTTTACTTCCTTTATTTGCATCACTACAGCAGGTGAGAAGGCTTTCTAACTGCTGCACCAAGTCTCATCTTTACCCACCTGGAAGCCAAGCTTCTCACTCTGCTGGAAGAATAAAAGACTTCCAATCTCAATTTGTCACTTTTTAATGAAGAATTACAGTTTTTCTTTACAATCCTTTGCACTTCTCTTTTCTCCTAAAGCAAAGCTCCTGGGCCACGAATGCATCTGTGGTGTCTCAAATAGTGCTAACACACACAAAAATAACGATCATCTGAAACAGTAAATAGACTTCAAAAAGTACTTTTTGAAAATAAGAGAGAGCAAAACAGGTTGGGGAGAGCTCATTAGCAGGGACAGAACCATTGTGACGAATTGAAGACCACAGCAAAGCTAGAAATGTTGACTGGACTTCAGTTAGAACTTAATGAAGATTCAGAAATAAGATCAGCTCTCAGGTATTTTTCCATTGCTCAACCTTATTTCACGTGTTTCCTAGGCGTAGCTTGTTCAGCGTTCAGACCTTTTCTCACCACTTTTCCCCTGTAGCAAGCTTGCATCAGGTATTGTGATCCAGAGGCTTTCCCCTTCATGACAGCGTAGGAAAAAAGGGTTTTGAAATCTGAAATCCATCTTGGGAGACACAGAAGTCCAGCACTTTCGAAAATTAGGTATTATAATGAAGTTTATCAGGTAACTCGATGCTATTCTTCATTATGTCAGTAAAACACTTCAGATCAATGTGGACTGACAGAGATGGTTGAAACAGATAAATCTTATTTAAATTACTCCAGTAACATTTTCTTCAGAGTTTCTTTGCTCATAATACTTTACTGTTTGTTTGATTTTTTCCCTCTCCAAACTCTTCTATTTGTCCTGGAATTAATGTTCTTCAAAAAAAATGGAATATAAAGGTCTTGTGGCTTTAAATAAATGGAAGGCAGTAACCACATATAAGATTCATTAAAAATGGCACGCTGAGTGGGAGTCCCCCATTTACAAGGGAAAAAAAAGTCTAGCTACATTTGCAGTAAATATTGCATTTTAATGCACAACTTCCACAAAGAAATGGCCAAGAAGACACTGAAAAATAGCCTATGTATGTGCAGACATCTAAGTTAATATCAAAGAAGTGAATATTTCAAATTTGCATTGATGTCAGAAAATTCAAATTTTAATTAATGAGAGCACAGAAGTGCCAATATAGGAATTAAATTCAATAAATATTTTTCATGTGGAACTCTGGTTTTATTTTTTTTGCAAATAGCCCAGATGTGTAGGAGAAATGTGAAAAAAATCCACCCACTTTTCTGTCACACGTTATGCTCATTAACCTTTTCCGAAGCACCACTTCATTTGTAGGCAGGCTTGGCTTTCAAGATCTTTTGCACTGCAGGCAGTTTGGAAGGCAGACACAGGGAGTACCGGGTATCTCCACTGAACACTCATATTGTTTCTTGAGGTGTTGAGCTTTTAAGTGTCCACATTCATTATTCTGTATTCAGATAATTTTGCAAAGCTCCATAAAATAAAAAGTATTTTAGTTGGATGTAAATACTGTGGCTGACCAAGGTAGGTAATAAATTAGTTACCAAATTGTTAACTAGTTAACAAATTGGATAGCATTGTGCTTGAATCTTACACTAAGTTCAAAAATATGTATGATAATGGTTATGGGTACCTGCTGTATGCAATATTGATTATTCGTTTGTATGAATTTTATCTACCAAACACTCACCGTTTTCCTGTGTTTTAATCTTCCTGAGTATAGTGAACATGGAACAATCCACTGGTGCATCATGTTGTTATGTCTTTAATAGACCTTTACTGTGCTAGCTAAGTGAGCTGATAGTATTTCATTGTGAAGAATTGAAAGAACGGCTAGTATTTATCATAAGCATCTAGAAGAGCAGTCCTTTGCTCTGTAAACACATCATGTGGGGGTCGGGGTGTGTAGAAATGTAATGGATTACCTGGTGGTGCCTTCTTTGGCCCACATGGCTTTCTCCGCTTCACACACCCTTTCCTACTGCAAAAAACCTGGACATAATGAAGAAATAAACAAGTGATTCATGTGAGTATTGAGTTTTGTGTAAGCGAAGGATATTAGTTCTGTTGCATTCATGTAGTGAAAGACAATGGGCCTGGTGCACGACCTGTGAGGCCAGAGGATTTCTTCCAAATCATTATGGATCAGACTCGAAGGAATACCAGAAAGAGGTTCTGAGCGTTTTCCTGTCCCATTTTAGTCAGCCTAGATCCCCTCAGTATTTCTGCCAGATGATGACTTAGATCAATAGGTCAAAACCATTGCGTCATTAGCCATATTTGTTGGATTTGCAGCAAACAGCAGTGTATGAGAACATTACAAAGTGCCATTCTCAAAGGAGAAAAGCGTGAAAGGTGTCAATCGGACCTGACACATACACAGGTACTCTGGCACCCCGTGCACCTGGGCATTACTCCTGATGTCCTCCTCTCGCTCTCATTTCATCTTTCCCCATTTTGCTACTGTTTACTTCCTTTGACTTTCCTCATACTGCATCTCATTCATCTGCACTCACCTTCTTTCAACCTCTTCCCATAGGATGGCTTCCTCAGCGCTTGCTCTCCTTCTGGACTTCTGGGTCCATCAGTCAAAGCACTTCCCAGGCAGGCACCAGCAGCCCTGTAGCTTGCACAGCCAGATGAGCTGGGTTTTCAATCTCTGGAAAACCACTCATGAAGTCTGGGAGCTCTGTGCCTGACTCTTCACAGCTTCCAGATCAAACGTTGCCGTTAGAAGTGAGATTGCTAGTTGTTGCAGTGCTGCTGGAAGATCCAGCTTTTCTTTCTCTTTGTGTCAATAATGAAGTTCAGTCTTACATTCTTTTGAATAATTGCAAGGAAAACGGGGGCATGAAAAGGCACACTGCTCTGTCAGTCAGACTTGTGTGGGCTTTGCAAGGCTTGACAGAAGTTCCGTCTAACTCCTCTTGATAGCATAAGCAGTATAGAATGTACAAACAGGCTGTGTGACTATTAAAGGTCAGCTTGACCTACACAGAGTTATTGTTTTATTAGCATGCAATGTATTTATAGAAAACCAGCTCATCATATTTACTCCTGAATAATTCATTTGTGAAGTCAGAGCCAACCTCTACTTTAACTGAGAGCCTCTTAAAAATGCACTTGGTTGTAAGCAGGAAAATATGAGATGAGAGAGAAATGGCCTTAAGAAGTTTTTACTTTCCACAAAATGTGGATAAACGGAACAGTCCTGATATATGATTACACACTTGTGAGCCTGTCCTTCCTTTTCTTTTTCTACACAAATGTGGTTTTGCCATGGCTTGTGCCTGTCTTGTGAAAGCCAGCTTGTAAACTCTCTGGAGTCAGTGGGCTTGCAAAATGTTTGGCCCACCTCTGATAGATGAGTAACATCCAAGATCAGTGGGAGTTGTTGGACATTTGGCACCTTGCATTCAGGCAGGTGTGCGGCCATGCTGTGGATTTAACAGTCTAAGACAGGGAAGGCTTCTTCTCTTCAAAAATCTTGGTCTCAACATAAAGCTTCTAAGAAGAGTTCTGCACTCTAGCAGGCAAATGTGTAGGGTGTTCATTAATGGGACATGAACTTTACATTACAGTTGAAAGCTCATCATTCATTAAATATATAAATAACTGTATGACTTTAGTTTTTTGTTTGCTTTTATCTCATTACAGAAATAATGACCTTGGTGCACATCATTTCCTCAGGATTAAGATTAATGACTGCCTGTACATCAGGATATCATCAACTCCCAGCCAGTCATTAATCCCCAGGAAATCCTGT